CCCTCATACCCCCCTCCTCCTCTCCCCTTTTCCCCTCCTCCTCTCTCACGCCCCCATCCCCCCATTTTTTCATCCTTTCTTTCTTCCCCCTCTTACCCTCCTTTCCCCCCTTCCCCCCCCTGTCCATTTCCCCCCTCTCCCTCTCGCCTTTTCCCCTCTCCCCTCTCGCCCTTTCCCTCTCCCCTTTCCCGCTTTTACTTCTCCTTCCCCTCTCCCCACCTTTTTCTGCTCATCATTTTACCTTTTTCCCCCTCCTTTTCATCCTTTTTCCCCTCTCCCTCTCCTGTTCCCCTTTCTCCTCCCCCTTTCCCTTTTCCCGCTCCTTCCCCCTTTTTTCCCTCTCCTTCCCTTTTCCCCCCTCTCCCTCTCCCCTTTTTCCCTCTCCTCTCTCCCTTTTTCCCCTCTCCTTTCCCCTTTTCCCTTCCTTTCCCCCTCTCTTCCCCCTTTTTCCCTCTCCCTCCCCCTTTTTCCATCTCCTCTCCCTTTTCCCCTCTCCCTTTCCCACCCCTATTAGTGGACGAATGGACGTGACATAGTTTAATCTCGAGCGCAATTTGTTTAATACAATTTCGGAAATCCTGTCGCGGAATTTTGAATACGTTATAGCCAGATTACGTCACTCTTGATCCCTGTGATGTAACCGACGTTGAGGGACGCTCGGTCGCTCGCCATTTGTTTTTTTCGTTTTTTTCGTTTTTTTGTTTGTGCTTGTGGGAATTGGTTGTTGTTGTTGTTGTTTTTTTTTGGGATTGTGGGAATTGTTGTTGTTTTGTTGTTTTGTTGTTTGTTTTTTTGTCTTGTCTGGTTGTGTAGTTGTGGGTTATGCCGACTGTTTTTGTTATATTGTTGTTTTTTTCGAGAATTGGGTCGATTTTTATACTTATTACTTATTTCATTTTGCGAATTATAGTCGACTTTTGTTCTTTGTTGTTTATGCTTTACGTGGGTGAACTACATGATACGTAAACAAAAACAAAAAACAATCTTGTTTATAACCGTTTACCATTCACTGACTTTAAATGAGACAATTAGGCAACCCCCTCTATTTATGCTTTTAATAATACAAGTAATAAAAATATTAATTATCAAATAATAATATGCGTTTATATATCTGTTGTTCTAAATTTGAAACTATCGTATTAGGCAAGATATATGTTAATAATGATACTAATACTTGTAATGTATTGCTAATACAATGATTGTGTTTTTTAATGATGATGGCAATAATGAAATGATAAACGTTAATTTTCTTGTTTGTATTATCTTATATTATTAATATTATTATCATTATCATTATTATTTATATTATCATCATCATCCATCATCATTATCAATGTTTAATTATCTTTTGTTTCTTTTTATTACCATTATCATTATCATTATTATTATCATTATTATCATCATCATTATCATTACAATTATCATTACCATTATTATCATTTTCATTATCATTATCATTATCAGTATTGTTATCATTATCGTTATTATTATCATCATTATCATTATTATTATCATCATTATCATTATCATCATTTGTATTATTATTATTACTATTATTAAGATCACCATCGTCATTATTAACATTGTTCATTATTTATTGTGGTTATCAATATTATTGAATACTAGTTGGAATAGAATCATGGCTATAACAACTGTTCTTCTACTCATTTACAAAATAATTATCATCTGATATGATCAATAAAAAGTATTAAAAAAAAAAAAAAACGCCATTTTCCTTTTCTCAACGGAATCGCCCCCCCCCCTCCCGCCTCGATACCCCAGTCCCTACGCCACCCCAACCCCCACACCCACCACTTCTCCTCACACGAAAAGTGTCTACAGTCTACCCTCGTAAACCCCTCTCCCCCACCCCCTTTCCTCCAATAAAAAATAGATAAAAAGATAAAAATAAACGATGAAATAACGGGGCTTCTACCATGTCAGAATCACATGTATCTCGTTCCCAAAACCCCCTAGAGCGAAAACAGAGATGTGCGTCTCGTTCCCAAAAGTCTTTTGGAGTGTTCGGATTTGTATCTTGTCTCCGAAGTTCGACAGTTCGTATATATGACAGATTGACAGTGGGTAGGAAAAAAAATTATGATGGAATTGGAATGAAAAAAAATGAAATGGAGATAGAGAGATTTTATGAATATGCTTAAAAAAAGAACGTGAGATGGAGTGAGAGAATGCGTGGTTAAAGAAAACGGGAAATAAAACAAGAGGGTGAAAAAACGATATTATAAACTTATGAAAGGAATAATGGATAAGACAAGAAGGGAAAAAGGGAAAATAGAAGCAAACAAGGAAAAAAACGAAGATAATTAACATGACAGAAAGAAAAATGAAAAGTGAAAAGAAAGTGAAAGAAAAGAAAACGAGCATACGCGGAGAAAAACAAGGAATATGGGAAAAACACAAATGAAATTTGAAGAATAGGCAAAAAAGAAAAACAATATACTGAGTAAGGAAAAGATGAAGAAAAAATGTATATTTCTTC